AGCGGCGCAAGCCCTTAAATTATAGCACTGGAACGGCCATACTGGAACGACCATCTGCGGCAACCGGATGGATTTTTGCTCTTTGGCAGACGCGAGGTCCGGAACACGGTCTAACGCATGGCCGTCGCTTGGTTGGCCCTGTTTGTGGGGCAGCCGGCCATGGGCGTCCGCGCTGTTCTCATCACTGTGAGCTCGACCGCCACGGAGAGTGCTCCACCAGCACCGTGACCAGCCGGCGGACGCGGCGGCGCACACAGGGGGGCGCGGAGAGCACATTGGCACACCAAGTCGCGGACGAGTGCTGCGCCCCTGCACTCCACCGGCCAACGTGTTTGCGGTGTTCCGCAACCTGTAAGGCGGCCCCGCCCACTGCAGCCGTGCACGGCTGGGGGTTTCCCGTGAGCGGGACATGACGGTCGCATCGCAGCGAAGTGCGCCTGCATGGGCGGTGGTGCCGTAAACCACGACGAGATCAAGGCGCCAGCGGTCACTGCTGGGACGTTTGGGGTGGTTGTGTAGGTGAGCACCGTTGCGGCACAACCTGGCTCACCACTTTGGTTCGTCGGGCCAAGAGGCCTGTCCTGGGGCAAGAGGTTGTGGTTGCCAAGGGCGTCGAATTGTCCCCCACATCTGGGATTGGGGGCCAAACCGTTGGGGCTGAGCGGCAGCCCCAGGCGTAAGCGTCGCGACAACGCCACCTGCATAGCTTGTGAGCGAAACATCACCCGGGACCTCAGCGACATGACAGCGGTCTGCCAAGGAGTGCTGCTGCTGGAGCTTCAGCTGGACGAACTCCAGCTTGACCCCGAACTGGGGCTGGTGCCCGTGTCTTGTGCCGTTGGGTGGGCGGGCTACGGTTGGGACTGAAGCATTTGTATGTTTGGTGACACTTCCAGTCCGCATTGCATCGCGTAGCTTGGGCCGGGGCTATTCACGCTATGGACAGGGGCAGGATGGTCTCAACAGTACGGGCTTACCATGAAGCGTAAGACGTAAGACTACGGATAATTTTTGTTTGTTCTGTGCCTGAGCGGCAATGTAGCCTTACTATCATCATGGCCTAGGTCTTACATTACTTTCCTGGTTGCTCCGGAACCTTTAGCGCAACTCAGAGCGTTCAGAGCGTGGAAAGGGCATAGTACAAAAAAACTGCGCTTCCTTTCCTGTGTCTGGGGCTGTGGTAAATTTGGCAGGCCAAGGACCCGAGGAGGAACAAACTCAAGTTATTTCGCTTCAGAGTCTACTCTTGGCCCCCAGCACCCAATGAAAATGGAAAGAAAGAATCAATAGGCGAGCTTGAGTGACTCGCTGGACATGCATTTGGGGTAGGCGTGCCAGGTTACAAGTTTCGGCTGTGTCAAGTGCCACAGCGATAGCTACAACCTACGAAAGCTGAAATGTAGCATCCTTACACCAGTCACTAGCGCATGTCAAGTCACGACAGGATGCCTCTGTGCATGGGGGAACAGCAGAGATGGTCATCTTTTTGTGTAGCGGGCAGGAGCAGAGAGTGTGAGGCTGTAGAAGTTTCTCCACGAGCCCCAGCTGCAGCTATTTCTGGGAGGCGCTACCTCAGACCGCCTGCGTACGGTTTCCGCGCAGGGAGCCCACGCCTGGCACATGCAGAAAGAGCCAACTAACTGACCAAGAATGGCAGAATGATAGAATCAATTCAGGCAGGAGGTGTGTCTGAGTCTGAACTTCGTAGCTTCCAAGAAGCTCTTGAGGCGCAGACTCTTCGCGGCTTAAGTACTTTGCTGCCCGAGGATGGCGTTCCATCAGCTCACCCAGAGCTCCTGCTAGGGCAACAGGACACATTATAAGCAAGGGATGAAGCAGTTGCCAATATGAAGGATACTGAGTATCGGATACTGACTCTCTGTCCTCCTCGCAAATAATCACGCTTGTCTGATGACCTCTGCAAAAGCAAAGTGGGCAACCAATGTACTTCTAGGGCTCTGATTCATGATTCGGTACAGATGCACATGTCCCCGTTGTTTATTCCTACTGGGCTGCACATGGCTGTACCACTTTTTCCTGACATCCGCAGTCGATTTAGGCACGGAGCGCGCAGACCTACCAGCAGCCAGATACTCACACATCAGCCTCTGACTCAGGGACACAGATTCCAAGTGAAGCCTGCCAGGAGCTTTGGCGGTGCCGCAGCAGCCGCGGCAGCCGAAGCGGCCAAGACCACGTCGTCAGCATCCAGACTGAAGGCGGACCAAAAGTCATTCACAACGAGGTCCAGACAGCCAACACATGAACCCAGCAGACCTTTGCAGCTGCCCTTGCCTCGGTGCTTCACAGCATTGCATCTGCCTCTCTGAAAGTGCAGTGTTTGAGAATCGGCCAAGTTGCTGCACAAGACGAAGCGCAGCCTTCACCTGACAACACACAGCTGCAGTCCTCTGCTACCTTGCCAGGTGCACTAGCTTTGCCAACAAGCCGGCCTGGCTGGCAGCTGCGCAGCACGTGGCCGCACAGCTGAAGCTTACGGCGTCGGCAGAGCCCTCTGCGCCTTGGTATAGTATAGTATAGTATACTATATTATAGTAGATTATACTATATTATAGTAGATTATACTATACTATAGTAGATTATACTATATTATAATAGACTATACTATATTATAGTATATTATAGTAAACCAACCTTGCCTGAGATCCTCTGTTAAGGCCCAACTTGGAGCCTGGCAAGCTTTGTGGAGAATAGCGAGCAGCTTGCGCCATGCAGATCCGACGAATGCTCCCAGGCATGTGTTCTGTGCCTCCAGTTCAAATTTAAGGAGTACTATTATTATTTCTAGTACTATTACTATTTCTATTACTATTACTATTTCTATTACTATTACTATTTCTATTACTATTACTCTTACTATTACTACTACTATTACAATTCTTTTACTATTACTATTACTCGTACTCTTGTCACTATATTACTACCACTTTTACTATTACTGTTACTCACTATTACTATTACAATTCTATTACTATTACTATTACCACTACCATTACTAGTTACTATTTGTTATTCGTATTAGTAATATACTTATGGAAGTGAAGGCAGCTTTGCTGTCGCGCTCATGCTCTAAACCCTGCCAGAGCTGCCAAGAGACTGCGCAATCAGGCTGGAGCCCACAGAGGGCCTGGACATGGGCCATAGTCTTAACACCTGGTATCCCCCTTAATAACCCACATAATATGGGGTTTAGGGTTTAGGGTCTGAACTCCTAGTATCCCCCTCAATAAGCCCTGTAGTCGTCCCATATATAATTCATTAGATGACCCCCATAAGGAGTTTAGACTCTAGCGCACATGGGCTGACATGCATCCTGCAACTCCTGCCTTACATGGTTGTTGCGCACTACTGCAGGTCTTATAACAATACTTATGTGGTACTTGCCCTAAATGTATATAGGGGCCCCAATGTAAATGAACCCAAAATACTATAATCATTGTTAGACGGACCCCAAAATGGTACCCCGAATTTTAGGAAACCTGCATAGGAGTCTGAGACCTGTTGAGTCTTGACTTTCAGCTTCAAAGATATCCGGGCCTGGCTTCGCAAAGCAGCCATAGCACTTCTCCACCTCCCGGATTCGGCAAAGGCAGCCAGCTGCTCGTTGAAGCACGCCAGGTCTGGCGCAACCTCCATGACCGTCACAAAAACCCAATGTTGTATAGTGGTTATACCGAAACAGTGGACAAGAAAATGCAAACTAGGAGTTTAGGGTTTAGGGCTGTTGATCGAGAATCAAAAGGAAAAGCAAATAGAGATGGCATAGAAACTGGGATTGCATAGTATGACTTGGGGATTTCAACTACCGGGGTCTGTTGTGATTGTTGCGTCCCTGACAATGGAAGCACAGCTTTTGGGTCCACAGTGGGATTCTGGTTTTCGAGAGCCCTCCTTGGAGATGGAGATATCCCAACAGTGAAAATGTCTCAACAGTTGAGGTACCCTCAGCAATCTTGGGCACAGGGGTTTGTTAAGAATCACACCAAAGTCATACTATGTAGTCCCGATTTCCATGTAATGTTTGATTTTCTTTTCCATTTGATTGACCATGGTGATTCGGGTAGCAATAACCCTTAACCCGAAACTCCCAGTTTCCATGTTCTTTCCTATGATTTATGTATAATCCGTATATCCCCTCCGACGCACAGACCTGGCCTGCCACCGCCCAAGATCTGCACCAGCGCGCAGCACCCGGCGCCAGTGTCCAGCACGCCTGGCCGCAGCCATCACTGCAGTGGCCGTCGAAGGCGTTGCACTGATCCCTGCAGGCGTCAATGAAGTGGGCGACACTTGCTTAGATCAGTTGAGATCTTCTGGACAGGATGTCCTCCGTTGAAGCAGGAAACACGTGAATTGAGAACTGATGACAGCCCCATCACTGTCCTGCAGTGATTGGCTACATTTCATTCCTATAAGCAAAGCTCCCACTTCTACACCCCAAAATGTCACCACCGTCATGAGATGGACCCTGTTGAGACGGAACTGACATCAGCATGGGTGTCTACAAAGAGTCTACAACCTTTCGCCCTTGACCCTGATCCCTGCCCAGAGCTTTCCTGAGCAGAAGTTTAGGACGAAGAGTTGCGCCGCGGCCTCCCACTGCAGGTTCTCACCTGAGTATCTCTCGGAGAGGGTTGCAAAAGAGAGTCTGTTGGCATCTGCAAGGATGTCTTGACAGACGCTGCCGAGGTCAGAAGAGGTTGCTTCTGAAAACGCAAGCTTCCCCGTTCATAGCCGAAACATTGCACATATTGCACGCTTTTATGATATCTACATGAGCTGTGAGAACTTCGCGCGCCAGATCGAAATCTGCCGCATCAAAAATCCTCTAAGAGCCGCAAAAAACACGTACAACTCCGACTGACCAAATGTTCAACAAGCTGGCACATCACTGCAGCCTGCTTGCCGAAGGCAGTCAGGCTTCCTGCCAAGGTGATGGCGTCCGGCTGCAGGGATGTCCACCTGGAAGGTGCCAGAAGGGCTCTTCATACTGCGTGACTGCGCGACTGTGTGAAGCTCCCACCTCCGCCACGCCATTCTGATCGTTGCTTCCCAGTTCAGACCTCCAGCCCAAGAAAGCAACCCTAGCTGAGGTATCTGTTAAGGAGAAGCTACAAGGAAAGTTCAGGCCTCTTCCCAAAGTGTTGATCACAGAATTGAACTGGATCAAGTTTTGGGCCATACCATCCTGCAGGGATGCATCATGCCACGGCCCCGCCCACGGTGACTTGCGAGAAATGTTAGATTTCCCGTGCTGTTCAGGCAGCAGCTGGCCGAGTTGGGAGCAAAGACAGCCATGCCATCCAACGAGTTTTGCAGGAGCCGGGGGCAAGGTTCAGGTATCTTTCCACAAAAGCGCCTGAGTCAAGCTCAACTGAATTGAAGACCCCTTTCCAGGCTTCTTCCTCCTTTTGATATGATACTGTTTGCAGGCCGTGTGAGGCTGAGTCCTCACTCCACAGCACCTGCTGTTGCTGTAAGGATGTTCCTAGACGGTTTGACACTGCAATCTCAGACCCCACAAACCTCTCATTTAGACCAAAATCAGAATCTGCCAAACTCTTATGTATATGCCAGAGCTCTGCTTCTGCTCATATCTCTCTGCTGCCCCTAAAATGCTTGTCAGTGGAGAAAATGGCTCACGTAACAACTTACAAAAGCAAACATAAAAGATAATCCAGGAACGGCAAACGGCTTGTAGAGACTCCCAAGCGTACTAAGACCTGGAAATTCCAACTGACCCTAAACCCCAAACCCTAAAGCCCTGAATCCTTACTCGAGTCCCTCTGAAGTCATGCTTGTTGAAGAGGAGAGGCGCCCAGCAAAATTCACAATTGGATGCACAGCAAATGAGCAGAGGATGGGTGGCCAAATGAGGATTGCACATGGTTACACCGTCGGCAGAATTACCGACCCATCCCCTCGAGCAAGGAAACCTCCCCACACCCCGACGAGCTAATACCGAGGGGAGTGTCCCTAAACTAAACGGGGGGGTCCTCAAGGAGAAGTTGACAATTATTCTCATCATTACAGTTGCATGAACTTTCTGTGCCTGGCGAAATCGAGTCCAGGCATCAATGGCCCGATCCCAATAGCCTCCTTCCGCGTAGGCCTTCAATGACCAGGAGAAAGCACGTGCAGCCCCCGCCCGCAGAAGACAGCGTAGCCGTGTTGAAGACAGAGTTGCACAGAATCACTTTGAAACGAAAGGCACTCCAAACACTGATCATATTCTGCAGGCGGAATCCTGGAGTATTTCCCAGAGTTGACCTGTTCATCAATTCCAGCTGTTTGACGTTGGCCGTTTCTTCCAGTTGCAACATTCTTCGACCCAAAGCATACGCCTCAATTTGGAAAGTCCCTGTTTGGGAAACACCTCATTCGGGGAGGTCTCCACATTGGTGGTCCCTCTTTGGGAGCTGGAAGCAAATGCTTCGAATAGAAGCATGCCAGGCGGAACCGCACCTAAAGCCAACAGATTAACGAGGCCTGTAGTAGCGTCGTGCCACCAATCGCATCTCGCCGAAGACGAGCCTTTCCAAAGCAGGATGTGGCAGCTGCGAAATAGTGATAGAGTTCCCGAAGAACTCTCATTGCAGATTCTTTAAGGGGCTTTAAGAATTGCTCTCCGTAGAATTCTCAGAGGTTCACAGGGTACCCCACTTCTGGGTCAAAAGTGGTTTGTTCGTCGGGTGTCCATTAACTGACCCTCGTACCACTGGGGTGCCAGCCATTTCTCAGAGTGGCAACTATGATCTAGCAGAACAGCAATGAATATACTCATCTGGGTTGCTGTTGAGGAACTTAAACTAAGTTACCATCATGGGTATGTGTATATATATAGTATTTAACATGGTTTCCCCAACATACACATTGCAAATGAGGTTGCATATCAGCGCCGGCATCGGAAATAAGGTTGGAATCTGAATATGATCTGGTCTCCCTAACTTGGTGGTCCTTTTAGTAGCAAGGATCCTTCAGGTCGAAGCGAAGGAGAAACAGAAGTAGCAGTAGGTGGCTATTAGTATTCCTACTATAACTACTATTACATTTTCTATTGCTATCATTATTCTTCTTACCATTATTACTCATATTAGTATTACGAATACTATTCTCATCTCATTATTAGTATTATTATCGTTACAATTACTACTACTACTATCCGCCCATGGCCTGCTCCGAGTCTTTCAGTAATTTCATGGCCAAAGGCCACTTGGCAGCGGCCGCGGCCGTGTCGCTGAGGGCGTTCCGCGCCACGAGGTCCGGTTGCAAGTGCCTGATGAGTTGCAAGCAAAATATGCCTGGAAGCTCTCTCCCTCACCTTGTGACTGTATGCAAGCTTCTAATGCTTGAAGGCTTCAAGTCCTCCATCATCTCGACCGTCCGAAGGGCGGCCGCCCAAAGTGCACGTAGACTGCAAGCTGTAATCCTTGCTTGTCCTTATTGCCCTGGTAGTGGGCTTCTGAGATTCTGGTTGGCCCGACACGAGATGTATTGGCTTGGCGTTATCCATCCGAGAGCACAGGATAAGCTCCTACAATCACATAGCAAAGCAAGAAAAATCTTGATTACAAATCCGAGGCGCAGCGCGCCCAAGCTGATCACGGTAGGAGCTATTGAGTGCCAGCGCAATTCATCCTCGCTTCCACGAATCCAAGAGGATGACTTCAGCTTATACTCCAGAACCCCCTCCAACACAATACCAATTCTACATAACATCAACCAGGCATCCAGCAGGTGGAAGCTCCGAATCCATGTGCCTTTGCTGCCGCAGCTGCTGCTGGCCTTCCACAGGGGGGCAGCTAATCAGACTCCCTGGAACGTGAGAGAAAGAATTCATAGGCCCACAGGCAGACCTGGAATCGTCTGGATGCAGCCAAAGCACAGCGTTGAAAGGGATGGCCTCAATGCGCCCATTTTTTCTTGGGGTTATACTAAAATACATTAGTATATTACAGTATATTGTAATATCTTGGGAGTGTCTTATAGCATGTTATAGTATATCATGGTACATTATTATACTATATTGTGGTATAGTGGGGTTATACTACACCGAAAAGAGGCAAGCTCTCCTCTGATCGGGTTGCAAGTTGCAATGCACAAAGCATCCGATCCAAGGCCGAGTTTGGATCTCATTGCCAAGTGAGTAGCGTTTCTTGGCGGTTGAGCCAAGTAAGGTTATGGCCCTTATGTAAACTACTATACCCAGAAGGCGGATATAATCTTGCTCTATATTGGAATAGTATTATTCTCGGTCGGTCATTTCAGTCACGTCTCGAGCACTTTGGCTCTATAGAAGAGGGTACCATAGTGTCCCAAAAAATCTCAAGTGGGATGCAACTTGTTTTTTGGCCGAGGTGCGTTGGCTTCAAGTTTGGTGGTAATGATGCTCGTCAGGATGCCAAGCCCCGCCCGCCACCTGTCGTTTTCAAGACCCCACTCTTGGGGGAAAACAAGGGAATATGACATATAAGGGTATAATATAGGGCTTACATAGGATAATGGACAAGAAAATGGAAACTACTATTTGGGGCCATTCAGTCCTTCTCACGGAATCACACCCGGCCTGCTTGCCCTTGAGCAGGCGCCTAAACCTGCGCTCCTGGCAATCGACATCACCATCTTGCAACGAGCCACAAGGAAGGTAGTCAATGTAAGCCAAGGTCAAAAAAAAGCAAGTCACTCAAACAACACACCTTGATGAATTTTCGGCTATTCAAGACCCTGCCGAAGAAACCGTGTATGGTAGTGGTGCGGAAGGGGTGCATTAACATAGTGAGTGTATGGGGTTGCGAACCTTCATAAAGCCTTTCTGCAGCGGCCAGGCAGATGACAGCATCAAACAGCGGGTCCTCGAAACCATGGTGGCTTGCAAGCCTGCAGCAGTAAAGCTGGATGATTACTTCAGGCCTGGCTTTTGAAATGCACGTCTCCTGCCTTTCTGTACCAGCACATTGAGCAGGCAGAGGGATTCCAGCCAGCCTCAAACTCAGTCAAACTCGGTGCGTGGCAGCAAAGTGTTTGTGCTGAAGCGTGAAGGACAAAAAAGGGGCGAGTGTCGTGACTGCCGGCCACGGGCAGCTATGGCTGTGTTGTACCTCACATAGATCAGACTGCGAAACAGAGCCATTGTGTCTATTGTTTTCCATCTTCACAATTGTTCGGTCTTGCTAGATGTTTACGGTGTAATTTCAAAGATTTAAGTAGCGCTGAATTTCTTCTCATCGGCGCAGTACTGTGCATGACTTACACTTAGACGGCCAAGGTGCGCTTCTACATCTGCAAAGGTCGACATTCGTCCAGGAGCGCCAGGCACAGTCGCAAATGAAGTGTGCAGACATGGGCTCAGCGAGTATGTGAGACCTACGCCCCTGTGATTGTGCAAGCGTCCACCTTTGGGACAGCCTGCAGATGATCAGAAGGCGTCCTAAGCCCCTGCTTGGGCCGCAGGTCGGTGTCTCGTCAGGAGCAGAGACTACAGTTATCAGAAAGCACAGGCTGAAAGCTCAGGCTTGCGCAGTTCGTTTATCGGCTTCCCAAGCTGGACGCATCGCTCAATGGCCTTCACAGCAGAAGACTCTTCTCGGAAGGCACCTTGTGGGGCAAGTCTGGCGACCTTGGCAAGGTACTTGTCACCCTTTTTGACCAAGGACGTGACCTCTCACACAAGCCGAGGTCCCAAGCACTTCATGCAATGGTGACCTGTGCTGCATCCGTGCCTTGCCAGGCTCTCCGTATCTCGCAGTGCGGCCAGCCCTGTGCAGGTAGTCCTCAGAGCCAAATGTGGGAAGCAGGGTTGCATGTCAGTAAGACAAAGGAGATCTGAGATTTTCCGGTGCAGCCTTACAAAGGCTCATGCCACATGCAGATTGTTTTTCGCTCTGCGGATGGTTGGTGGCCATCACCGCCTGCATGAAAATCTGCTATCGCCAGTGTGGAGAGCGTGCCAACAGCAGCCTGTACCTGGGTGGGCACTTCAAGTCCACTTGAGAGCCACGGGCTGGGAC